CCACGACGCTCGTCTGGCATCGGAAGAACACGCCCCCCACTGCTATGGAGAGCTTGCCTTCCTTTGCTTTCGGATTGTAGGCCCCCGCTGCCAGGGTCACCGACCAGGCCTGAACCAGGAACTTCCCGTGGGAGTGCGTGCGAAGCACGTCGCACTGCTCGACGCGCTCGGGAACCCAGAGGAGAGCCCCGACGCACTCGTGCGCGACCGCGCCGTGGAAGCCACTCTGGCGGATGAGAGCGTCGAGATGTCGCATCCGCTGGGCGCGCGCGATGTCCGCACCAGGCTCGAAGGAGACTAAGACGACCCCTTCGCGCCTGGCCCTGGCAGCTGCGACCCAATCCGACAGGGAGGCGTCCGCGCGCAGGACGAGGGAAGCAAAAGCCAGGTTCACGCGCGCCTCTGTCTGCCCCTGCTGCACCTGGTCTGCATCGTCGCACAGCAGGGGCACAAGAGGCTTGGAATGGCTCGGGCCGCGCTCTTCCTCTGGGAAGTGCGGGCGGCCTTCCTCTGGGAAGTCCTCTTGGACAGGAAGCGCTGGCGATCGCGCCTTGGTGGTCAGGGCGAGCGGCTGTGTCACGCGGGCCCCCGCTGCTGCGGGGGAGCTGTCACACAGTTTGTCTGATGCGGTCAGACCCTGCCGTTTTTGCCAATTAGTCGTGCAGGGAGATCTCGGTCTCGGGCCCTCGGAGCGGGCGGCGTTCTGTCCAGGCTCGATTACCACTGCGGCGGCGCCTGGCCCCACGCACGCCCCCGCTGCTGCGGAGGCCGCCTGCGCCGCCGTTTTGACGACAACGAGGTTGGCGGCGGCCGTTAACTTCCGCGCCTGCGCGATCTCGCCCTTATCCATCATTTTCTGAGCAACCGCCAGGCTCCGCGAAACGGTTTCCTGGGCAGCGCTCATTGACGAAAGCAATGTCCTAACTTCCGTCGCAAACTCCTCCCCCGCTGCTGCGGAGGCAGGTGCTGAATCTGCCAGTCCCTGCGGAACTGCTTCAGGGGCCTCCTCTGGCAGCCCCCGCTGCTGCGGAGACTTCGGCAGAGGCTCCTGCGCGGTTCCAGTCGCGCCTTGCTGCTCCATGCCCCGGGCCGCTCCCGTCGCGGAGGCGGGCGGGCGCGGCGGGAGGCAGACCTGCAACGGCTGCGGATTCACTTTATCGCATTGCCATCCCTCCCCGCGCTCAAATGGCTTTTCGCCTTGCGCCAGTCTGCTGCTCCCACTTCTGAACTACCTCATCCCGTCTACCTCCCCCTGCACCCTCCTCTTCCTGTTCAATCCTCCCTCCTCCCTCCACCGTGCTCATTTCTCCTTACTCCCTTCTCTGCTCCTCCTACGTGGGGCGTTTCACGACAACGACGACGACGACGAGAACGATGACCACGACGGCGACAACGAGAACGACGACGACCACGACGACGACGACGAGGACGATGACCACGACGGCGACCAGCGACGACGACTAGCGACGACGACGACAGACGACGACGACGCCGACCACGACGACGACGGCGACGACGACAACGAGCGACGACGACGACGACAATCGACGCCGACGAGGAACGACGACGACGAACGAGGACGACGATTACGACGACGAGATGACGAAGGTTCGAAGATCGAACCTCGAAGTGCGAAGTTTCGAAATTCAAACTTCGACCTTCGAACTCCGAACTTCAAACTTCGAACTGCGAACTTCGATGGGGTGCCAGGGATGCAATGGGATGGAGGGAAAAATGGGAAGGAGAGAGCGAGGAAGCGGGAGAGGAAGTTGGATGAGAACGAACAGGCGTGGAGCGACGAGGAACGGGCGGCGAGGAGCCGACGTTGAGGGCGGCGGGATGGGGGGACAGGGAGGAGAGGGGGGACTTCAAAACGAAAATCGCGCCACGGCGCCTGCACGCGCGCCCCCGATCTCGGCGGCCGACGCGCGCGCCCCTGCCGAAATGCAACGCGCCCTTCATTCGAGCCCCGCTGCTGCGGAGCCACCTACTCCACAACCAAATCGTCTGGGGAGCTGTTCGGCCCCCAAACTACTGGTTTGCCAGCCGCTGCTGCGGACGCCGAGGGCCCGGTGCTGGACGCCGCGGCCCCGCTGATGCGGGGCCCCTGAGAAGGCGTCGGCCCCCCCTTCTCTCTGGCGGCGTCGAACTTGACCTTGCGCTCCACACCGAGGTCCTTGTACCAGCGATAGGTTCCTGACCCGTCGCTCCCGCCCAAACCCGCGGCTGGTGGCCCCACCGTGTCCGCGCGGGGCATGAGGGGCAGAGCTTCGACCTTCCTGTCGCCCCAGTGCGGGTGTAAGCGGACGCCTGTCCCGTCGTCGCGGTGCAACACGAAATCCCACATCGGCAGCTTCACTTTCACCCGCTGCCCCGCGAACTGTCGCGCGCGCACAATACTCTGGCGCATGTGGTCGTAGCTGTTTGGCCGGACTTCGAGGGAACAGCCGATCAGAGCCCCGCTGCTGCGGGCCCCCCCCCGCGACCTCCCTGATATCTTCCTCCCTGAGCGTCGCCACCATCTCTTGCCACCGCCAAGGGACTTCCTCGTCGCTTCTGAAACCAAAGCTCGTTCTCGCACCGTGGTCGCAAACAGCGACCATGATGGGCTCCGCATTGTCGAACCACTTGGCTTCTGACTCGAACGGGGCAGTTGGGTCTTCACTCAGGCGGCGCCACCATTTCAACGCTTGGTTGTGTTGCTTAAACGAAGTGCCGAGCCTCTCTTCATAACTCAAAAAATAATTTACATCAAACTTCTCAAAATCCTGGGGCCCGCGCGCCGCCGCCGCTGCGGTGGCGCGGGGCTCCTGCGCCGCAGGCGCGGCTCGGGATCCCGACCCCTCTCCTGAAACGGTGTTCCCAGGTTCTGGTGAGTTTCGGAGGGCAGCCCTCACGAAATTATCGAATTCGGGCATGCCGAGACCAGGGGCGCGGGGGCTCACAACGCTAAGCGCGGCGAAGCGAGACGGCCGTTGAGGCGAGACCGCCGCCGCTGCTGCGGCGGCAGGGCCATCGCGCAATTTGGCGTCCTCCTTTGGCGTGTTCCCGTCTTGTCGCCACTCTCTCCAACCCCACGCTGACCAATCATGGCCGTCCTCCCAGCCACGCCAGCCGCTGCTGCGGCTATCCCACCATCCTTCCGCGCCACCCCACGTGTATCCGCCTGCATCGCCCACTGCAAGACGATGGCGCAGGCGCGCGTTAGGCCGCGACGGGCCCGGCTGCACCGTTGCTCGCGGGCGATCCCACGGGCGCGGGATGGTTTGAGCATAGCGGCGAGGGACGACGCGATGTGATTGGACGGCAGAGAACTTGAAAGGAAAGGGGGTTGGAAACGGAAGAACGAAGTGGACGAAGAGTGGAAATCGAACCAGAGGGGGGAGAAAAAAGAGCGGAAGAGAATGAGGACATGCAGACGAAGGAGAGTGACGAGGTAGATGGCGGGGCAAAACGGCAACGGAGGATAATGTGGTGGAAATTGTGAAAAGGACGCATGGAAAAACACGACGAGGATCACAGACGCAAAGATGATGAGCGCAGTACATATCCGAAATCAAGAAGCAGGATGAGGAGGAACGGGATGACGAGCAACTCTGTCACAGAGGGCCTCCTAACGCACCCCCTCTGTCACAGAGGGCCTCCAAACGCACCCCCTCTGTCACAGAGGGGCAAAATGATCACTTTAATGCGGCTTCTGGATTAGCAGAAGGAGGCAGAGGAGAGAGAAAAGAGAGACGAAAGGCTGAAAGCGTGGAAGTCTGGCCAGATGCCAGCCCCGCTCCGCAGGGCCGAGAGTTGCGACAAGCTGGGCCCACTGGGCCGGGCCGCGGGCAGGCGTGCCAACCAGGGCGCCACAGTTCTACCTGGACCAGAAAACCAACGACACCATCCCACCTACGGGCCCCCGGGGCTCAACGCGTACCAGGAAGTCTGGCGGGGGCTTTTGCGCGGTATGCGCGGCGGCCCCCGATGGGTCGCAGCGCCACGTGGAAGGCCGCAGGTGGGCTGGTGTCGTTTGTTTATGGTCGGCTGCCCGCTGGCCCATGCGGGCCCTTGGGGTCAGCCCCAGCCTTTCCAAGCCGAGTCCGCCCGTGGCGACGCTGCAGCACCCCGCCGACGGATCCACGAGTGGACGGGGAAGGCAGCCTCGCCCGGCAGAGCCAGCGCCCTTCTCTCGAGGGGGGGTGGGAAGAGCAGCAGCAGAAGAAGCAGCAGCGGGAGCAGGAGGGCGAGGAGGCGAGGAGGAGCGAGATGAGGATGGCCAGGGGGATCCTCAGCAGGCGCTGGAATAGGGGCAGGGAGACGAGGTGGGCGAGAAGGGTCAGGCTGAGGATGAGGGCGATTAGCTTCGAGTAGGCGGAGGATGGCGTCGCCGAAGACGGGCGCAGCAGAAGGCTCGCACCTCGCTAAACGTCCGTCGTGGACTCGGCATCTGGAGCCGCCACGGCGGCGGCGAGTGCACCAGCGACCGCTGACGCCGGCAAGTTCTCCGGGCCCGCGAGCTCCACGTGCGCCTTGGCGGCGAGCACAAGCCGAGCGGGTTAGTTTTGATGCTCAGCCCTGGCTGCCTCCCTGGACTTCGGCCTCGGGGGCCCGTGCTCGGGCCCCGGGTACCATCGAGAGTGGATCCAAGCTGCAAGCCCGACGCCACCGATTGAGCCGAGACCTTCGATGATCCTCAGAACGTGTGTTCACGCCCGCGTGTGCTTGTCCACCGAGGCCCTTCAGCACGACGCAGAAGGCGCAACAGGGGCAAAAACAGGCGGCGTGCTATCGGCGGAGCTGAGCGGGGCAAACACGCATTGGGCTGACACACGTCCTGAGGATCATCGAGACCTCCAGGGCCACGGAATAAAGTAGGATGTTCGGGATGGGGGGGATCGGGGGGACATCATTCTAAGAAGGCACCCCAGCGCCTTCAAGGCGTACGAGAAATCATATGTTTGAGAGGTACCGACCCCTCGTAGGAATCCCCCTGCCTTCTTGGAAGGTTGCTCCCAAATCGGAGGCCGCCCGATGCAGATAGGGTCGAAGGATCGCACCGCATCGCTGGTGCACCAGCGATGCCATCGGCGACGTCGAATGGAAAAACATCTGGCTCTGGATAGCGTCTCGTCGCCGATGCGTCGGCCATGCGGCGCGGTCCTCCGACCCCATGCAGGCGGCCTGGAGACTCCCCTCTGAACCCGCTCTGCATCTGAGATCCCCGAACGAACCCAAAATCAAACACACCGGGCGGCCCAGCGGACCAGATCCCCATCGCCCTGTGGGGGCTGATCCTAGTCGGCTGCCCTCTCGGCGGCCGAGCGGGCTCAGACGCCGACCAAGCTCAGAGGGGAAGCCTGTGGCCCCTCTCGGTGGGCACACGAGAGAGGAGGAGAGCAGCATCAAGCCGTCGGGGGGCGAGTTGGCTCGAGCTGTTCAGGGGCGAAGCGCGTCTTCTTTGCACAAGCCCCGAAGCCTGAAGACAGGGAGCCTCATCAGAAATCGCGGGGACGACGCCGAGCAGCAAATGTGGTCAGAACAGGACAGCGGTTGCTGTCGGCAAGGGGGCGTCCGCTCGAGACCGACCATGTTGACGGCTTGCCCTGAAACCGACAGCTGGCCCTGTCCAAGACAGAAAGGAGCCACTGTCGGCCGTCGTCCCCATTCGTTCGCTTCGTCCCCAGCGCGGCACGAGGAGGGACAAAGCACGTGCACAGAATCTCTGGGCGCCCGCGCACGAGAGCGCCGAGCACCCTGCCCACACCTCCCCGCTGGGAGGCGGCAGGGAAGGCACCGTCCAGGGGGGTGCGGGGAGGGGCCGTCCAGGGGGGTGCGGGGAGGGGGCCGGGCGTCGGCGAACACACGCCGTCCGCGAACGCCCCAGGCGCAGATGCGCGTTTGCCTCTCTGGTCTCAAATCCTCATCTGATCTCCTCTCCTGGCGAACGAACCACACAGAACACACACACACACACACACATACCCCTACTCACAGGAATTTCGGAGGGAGGAGGACTGGCTGTGCGTAGGGGTGCGGGCTGTCGGACCCGTGGGAAGCTCCCGTACGGCATGGCGCCACTTCAACCAGGAGGAGGAGGAGGAGGAGGAGGAGGAGGAGGAGGAGGGAGGCCCCCCTTCGTCCCCCAATCTCGGTATGGGGGTGTGTTGCTCTTTTCCTCCCAAAAAAAAACCCGACCGCTCCAGGGGCGCGCTCTGACCGAGTAAGATCCAAGGGAGGCGAGACGCGGAGACGAGAACGTCCAAGGATCCAAAACAATTGGCTCTCTCGATTCCAGACCTCCGACGTACGGGTCATGTCAACCCGCGTGCCCCAGAAATGTCGACCCCTTCCCCAAGCTGTTTGTGTTCGCCCTGGATCGCTCTTTGACTGTACAGTAAGAAGCCCACATTGACGAACAAAGTCGTGATGGCAAAATCTTGTGGTGGGCGTCTGGGTCCCCCAAGGTCTAGAGCAATCCCCGCGGGCGCGGAGGTCTTCGGAAAGTGAGCTGGTCCCCAGCGGCCTCTGAAGACCTCAAATGGCACAAAGAAAGCCAAAGACGTCTCAAGACACCATTCCTCGATCCTTCGATGCTCAACTCTCCAGCAAACGAACACGCCCAGAATCAAAGGACCCTCACTAGGTCCATCATGGCCAACTTTTCCAGTTGCATCCAGCTGTGGAGGCCCCCGAAGGCCAAGAAGCGAAGAGAAACAGGATTACGAGAAAGTTATCGTCTCCCGTCATCGCTCGATTGGCACACCCGATCTGCGGATTATCCAAAAAAACCTGGCGAAGGGCCAAACCAGATGCTGATGCGAATGCCGCAAGGCAGGCGGGACGAGACAGGAGCAGCTCCTTATGGGGCCACGAAACGTGTGAGGGGTGTGCCGATTCGGGTGCGAGCACGCCATGCAGACCCTGCAACTGGGGACTTGGGTGGGGGCCCCTTATGGGGCCACGAAACGTTTCAGGAGTGTGCCAACGTCTGCCACTAGGGTCTTCGGTGGAGCTCCTGCCGTTGGGGCCACGAAACGTCTGAAGGGTGTGCAGAAATGAGTGTTGTGGCGCCACGCGGACCCTGCCACTGGGGCCTTCGGTGGAGCTCCCTACGGGGCCACGAAGCTTGTGAGGGTGTGCCGAAATAGGTGCGGTGGCGCCATGCGGACCCTGTCACTGGGGCCTTCAGCAGAGCTTCCTACGGGGCCACGAAACGTCTGAAGGGTGTGCCGAAATGGGCAAGGCGGCGCCATGCGGACCGTGCCACTGGGGCCTTCGGTGGAGCCCCCTATGGGGCCACGAAACGTCCGAAAGGTGTGCCGAAATGAGCACGGTGGCGCCATGCGGTCATTGCCACTGGGGTTTCCTTGGAGCTCCCTATGGGGCCACGAAGCGTGCGAAAAGTGTGCCGACATGGATGCGGTGGCGCCAAGCGGACCATGCCACTCGGGACTTGGGTGGGGCTCCCCATGGGGCCACCAAAAGTGTGAGGAGTTTGCCGACATTGGTGCGGTGGCGCCATGCGGACCCTGCCACTGGGGCCTTCGGTGGAGCCCCCCGTGGGGCCACGCAACGTGCGACGGGCGTCCCGAAAAAAACAAGCGCGGTGGCGCCATGCGGACCCTGCCAATTTGGCCTTCCGTGGAGCCCCCTTTATGGGGCCACGAAACGCGCGCGGGGTGCGCCGATATGGGCGCGGTGGCGCCACGCGGACCCTGCCACTGTGGCTTTCGGTGGAGCTCCTCATGGGGCCACGAAACGTCCAAAAATGTGTGCCGAAATGGGCGCGGGGGCGCCATGCGGACACTGCCACTGGGGCCGTCAGAGGAGCGCCGTATGGGGCCACCAATGAGGGGTATGCCGACATGGGCGCGGGGGGCGCCATGCGGACCCTGCCACTGGGGCCTTCGGTGGAGCTCCTGCCTGTGGGGCCACGAAACGTCTGAGGGGTGTGCACAAATGGGTGCTGTGGCGCCACGCGGACCCTGCCACTGGGGCCTTCGGTGGAGCTCCTGCCTTTGGGGCCACGAAACCTCTGAAGGGTGTGCAGAACTGGGTGCTGTGGCGCCACGCGGGCCCTGCCACTGGGGCCGTCGATGGAACTCCTGCCTTCGGGGCCACGAAACCTCTGAAGGGTGTGCAGACATGGGTGCTGTGGCGCCACGCGGACCCTGCCACTGGGGCCTTCGCTGGAGCTCCTGCCTTTGGGGCCACGAAACGTCTGAAGGGTGTGCAGAAATGGGTGCTGTAGCGCCACGCGGACCCTGCCACGGGGGCCTTCGGTGGAGCTCCTGCCTGTGGGGCCACGAAACGTCTGAAGGGTGTGCAGAAATGAATGCTGCGGCGCCACGCGGACCCTGCCACTGGGGCCTTCGGTGGAGATCCTGCTCGTGGGGCCACGAAACGTATGAAGGGTGTGCAGAAATGGGCGGTGTGGCGCCACGCGGGCCCTGCCACTGGGGCCTTCGGTGGAGCTCCTGCCTTCGGGGCCACGAAACCTCTGAAGGGTGTGCAGAACTGGGTGATGTGGCGCCACGCGGACCCTGCCACTGGGGCCCTCGGTGGAGCTCCTGCCTTTGGGGCCACGAAACGTCTGAAGGGTGTGCAGAAATGAGCGCTGTGGCGCCACGCGGACCCTGCCACTGGGGCCCTCGGTGGAGCTCCTGCCTTTGGGGCCACGAAACGTCTGAAGGGTGTGCAGAAATTGGTGTTGTGGCGCCACGCGGACCTGCCACTGAGGCCTTCGGTGGAGATCCTGCCTGTGGGGCCACGAAACGTCTGAAGGGTGTGCAAACATGGGTGTTGTGGCGCCACGCGGACCCTGCCACTGGGGCCTTCTGTGGAGCCACTGCCTCTGGGGCCACGGAACGTCTGAAGGGTGTGCACAAATGGGCGGTGTGGCGCCACGCGGATCCTGCCACTGGGGCCTTCGGTGGAGCTCCTGCTGCCTTTGGGGCCACGAAACGTCTGAAGGGTGTGCAGAAATGAATGCTGTAGCGCCACGCGGACCCTGCCACTGGGGCCTTCGGTGGAGTTCTTGCCTTTGGGGCCACGACACGTCTGAAGGGTGTGCAGATATGAGTGTTGTGGCGCCACGCGGACCCTGCCACTGGGGCCTTCGGTGGAGCTGAGGCAGGATAGGGATGCCGATGGTGATAGTGATGATGATGACGATGATGACTATGATGACGATGCGGCCGTGAGGTAGGTAGAGGCAGGGATGGGAGGTGGGAGGCAGGATGAGAGACGCGGGGCGCTGCTGCTTGAAAACGAGGACCCAACACCACAGGATGGCCCCAGGATCGTTGGGAAAAGCATGCGATAGCGGCGGCTGATGGGCAGATTGCCACGTCCACGGACAGTGCTCACAGCGAAGCTGATAGCGATTCCTGGTCGAGATAGACTGGAACTGCTGCCAGTCATCGTCCCCTCTCGTTCCGCCCCCAATTCAGACGGGAAATCCGCCCAAGGACCCTGCCCAGACCTCTCCCGGGCCCCACCTGGCCAGACACCTGAGACACCCGACCGTTTGCAGCTGTGAGTCAGGCGGTTGTGAATATCCTCTTCGGTGGAGCCCGCTCGGGGGGCACGAAATTCGCGCGAGCTGAGCCGAAATGGGTGCGGTGCCGCCGTGCGAACGCAGCCGCCAGGGCCTTCGACGGAGCTCCCCATGGGGAAACGGAACGTGGTGAGGGGTGAGTCATGCGGTGCTGCCGTGCGAACGCAGCCACTGGGGTCTTCGTTGGAGCTCGCTACAAGTCCACGAGACGCGTGAAGGGCGTGCCGAACTGGGAGCGATGCCGCCATGCGGACCCTGCAAGTGGCGCCCTCGGTGCTCCCTGGGGGGCCACGAAGCGTGTACGGGGTGTGCCGACGTGGCGGGGGGACCGCATGGGGGTGATGCCACCTTTATAGGTCCACGAAGCGTGTGAGGGGTGTGCCAGACTCTGGGGACGCTTGCGGTGCCCCCCACCTGGGTGCTTAGCTCGAGTTCCCTATGGGTGGGGCCACG